GAAATCTCTTATGGCTTCGTGTTACGAAACGGTGGTTGTCTTGTTTCCCTTTCTTAACTCCTTCAGAATGCCGAAGCAGTGTCTAAATGTGGCAACCAACACCAGATGCTCAGCACAGCATAGCATAGGTCCATGGGCACTGTCTTGCACGAATATTCTGCACAGCTAGCAGGAGCATGATAACAGAAAAAAAAAGACATTAGTGCATTTAGATTCTCGCCCTTAATAGTGCCACCATGAACTGTCCTTGTGACCAGCCATAGAACCATACTGCTAACCCATGGTAGAGTTATGTCCTCTCATGAAGGACACTAAAACTACTCACTTATCCAAGCATTTTTATATCCCGATTCTGTAAGAAAAATTCTGAATAAAGTCAAGCTTTAATAGTTGGTACAATCATGCAGACAGTTTGAATGGTGCTAGGTCAACTATTGGATGTACAGCAGACACACAGCTCAGACCATGTGACTAAGCCATGCAAAGTGTGAGGCAAGCAAGGCAGAGAGTGGGTGCGATAACCATTGGCAAGCGGAACAGGCGACATGCTCATGCAACACGGTCTTGCAATTGGAGTCACAGAAAAAGAGATAAGTAGGAAATGTGATATGTACCAGCAAAGTTGGGTGGGATCACTGGTGTTTGAATGGAGGGGTCTAGCCAGGAGAGAGAGTGCGTGGGGAGAGAGAGAGAGATGGCAAGTGTGAGGCAAGTTTCAAAGCTCAGAGAAGGCTTGTCACCGCAACAGTGCAAAATGAAAGGACAGAGTGCTTAGTAGGCACTAGAAGTACAAGCTTTTTTTCTGGGCACAGCAGGTCACATTTCAGCGCACAAGGATCCCTTTTGTGTCTGGCATTGAAAACGCCTCCTCGACAATCTCCACGTAAAACTCGACGTTACTGTATTATCATCAGTTATCAGTTTCTACTGCAATGAAACATGTGCCATCCCTGTGAACTCTGCGCATCCCTGTGAACTCTAGCCACCCACCAATGGGCAATCTGAAGTGACCACATGTTAAGCAATCTATTCAGAAATCATCCCGTTCACTCCAGCATAAATGAAATAAAACAGAGCTCAAGTGCTTCAGAGGCTGCAAAAGAGGGCCGGAAGCAACTAAAAGCAACATTTCACTTTGTTGTGCGCACAACTTGAAGACCATGCTTATTTGCCATGTCTGAAAGTTGTTGCATGAACTCTTGGCATTTATGTACCACAACCATTTGTTATTTTCAATTTGCATTTTTCAGAGTTAAAGGGATGGAGAATGATTTTTCCTGCTGCGAGAAACTCCACCTCAGTAGTGGCTAAATTTGCAGTGGATGATGACTCCATGATGCTTTGAAAACAGAATATTTCGATGCAAGAAGCCTCTAAAAAAGTCACTCTTCGAGCAACACTTAAAGGCAACAGCTCTCCTTAAAAACTCTTCCTTACGATCAATGTTGTGCTTTTAGAGGCGCGAATGCGATTTTAGTCAACTAATTTCATTTTGACATTTTCAACCATTTATAAATGTCTGGCAGTCCATGAACTCCCTTTACCACCTTGGCGAGCTAGGCACTCCTGGCACTTTCTCAATTCAACAACTATCGTGCTGCCGCTTATGATCATTTGTCAATGTGAAGGCATATCTGCCTTTGTCAAAAAAGATTGAAAAAAAAAAAAACTTTGCTGTATTTCAACACTAATACAGAAACTGCGACACACATAAAAGGTCATGGAAACATATGCAGCTTTGCCTTTTTGCTGCGTGTGATACCAACAGGATTTTGCATGACTAGTGATTTGATGATTGATATGTAGGGTTTAACCTCCCAAAACCACCATATGATTATGAGAGACGCCGTACTGGAGGGCTCTGGAAATTTCGACCACCTGGGGTTCTTTAAAGGGCCCGCAAGCCACCCAGAGGTCGAAATTCAGTTGCAGTGGGAAAATTGTGCACATGTGTACGTCGAACACAGGGCTGTGAGAATCTTTTGAAACAGTGCAGTACAGTCAAACATGGATATATCGAAATCGAAGGAGATCCCAAATTAGTTTGATATATGAAAAATTCGACATAAAAAAATTGAGGCCCCAAGAGCTTACCTGTAGCAGATAATCACCTACAATAGGTCCATTCAAGAATGACAACTAATTCCGCATACATGCCATAACAGAATGGTTAATTTGCGTGAAAAAAAATCGCTAACCTTGGCCCGCTTCTTCGTTTTTGAAGTGTTGAAGATGCTAGTCTCGATATTATCACAACTTGCGAAATGTGTCGTCTATGCGCTCGTCGTCGTCTTCATCGGTTTCCGCAAGTTCAGCTGTCTCAAAGCCTGCCTCGCGGAAACAATTGACCACTGTGTCCGTCTTCACGTCTCGCCAGGCATCAAAGATCTCTGCGGGCGAAAACTCCGCAGAGATTTTCGGCCACTCCTTTGTCATCGACTGCTGGATGTCTTGGCTGCTGACAGCTTCGCTTTTGCCAGAAATGGTTTTGCCAAAAATGTTGTAGCACTGCTTAAATCGGTAAAGCCACTCGCTGGTGTCGCCGAAATTGTTTCACCGAGTACAGCGGCAAACCATTTGGGCTTGGTGATCAGCATCGGGACATCCCCCGGAATGTGCTTCGCGTGCAGATCTCAAAACCAGGCATAGAGTGCCTTTTCTACATTCCCATGGGCAGAAGCATGCACGTGACAGGTTCCAGATGTTCACTCCGCCGCCTTTGCCTTGATCTCTGCCTTGTTTTTAACAAGGTACTCGGAGTGCTCCGTGGTATCCCGAAGTCATCGCCGACGGTTGGACATTTCTCGCCCGCCTCAACATGCTGAACAGCCTGCAACTACGTCGCAATGTCAAGGGTCTTGCGCCTCCCGACGCTGGCCATTGCTACACCAGAAGTCGATGATTCAAGGAGTCAGCAGCGGCTTTGCACACTACGCACGCAGAAGAAAAATGCTACAGATGCGGTGCTATGTAGGCGACGCGACAGCTTGAGAGCAACAAAACGCTCGCGAGGCGATGGCTACTTGTGAGGGCAACAGCAAAAAATGCGAGCTGTGGTTGGCTGATCAAACCTCACAAAACAGCAACAAAAAATGAAAGAAAAGGCGACAGCAGGAGGACGTCGGCTCCTTCGTTCCCGCTTTCCTAGCCCACGTGTACGTGGAAAAAGCATGACGAAAGAGAAATGAAAAAAAAAAAAAAAAAGCCGTTCCGCAAGTTAGAGATCGCGCAGTTTGAGCCCTCTCGTCCTTACCATTTTTTGAGCATTTCGGGTTTCGGCGGAAACGCGGTGCCGTGCGGAGGTGGCTGGGCGCTGCCCAGCAAGTGTGAAAAGCATGCCTTCCAACTCGCGCCCAAGGCCACGCTGTCGCGGAGATCGCAGAGGGGGGAGGCATGTGTCAAAGCGCACCTTTCAGTTCGCGCGGCGTTTGATGTATCCGGAGGCAGGTAAAAGTACTGTTTGATATAAACGTGCAGATTTCTATACTTTTACAAATGAATTTCAAGGGAATAACTTGAGAGTTCGATATACCTGAAAATTAGATATATGTGGGCTCGATTTAACAGTGTTTGACTGTACTAATAGCAGAGTTAGACGCGTTTGACTATTGAAACCGTGACGACCACACCTTTCGCTCTCTCCAACACTTCCCTCTACTGGTATTCTCTCCCATGTCGGTTTGCCCTCTTGCCGAGTGCTGTTCCTCTCATGCACCTTCTAATCCCGCGTAGCATGAGTCATCACTGACGCGCTGCTTGAAACACCCTCTACTTCCGGTTGCCGCTACTTTGGCTGTCCACTCCGTCAGTTGCCCTGTAGCTGCAAGCTTGTTGGCGAACCGTGGCTGCCGTAATCGTGCCAGTATGAACCCCGAGTTGCGCACACGCCTTCAAAGGATCGCAAATGTGATGGACCCGCATGGGGATACGCCATGCCCCACACGTGTTGCATGCACACGAGCAACACGACAAACCACAACACGCAGCGGGGATCGCTGCTTGCAAACTGACCGGAAGTCTTAGGCTCTTGCTCGACAAATGACAGCATATTTGCCATATTTGGCTCAGCGCATCACAGATGTGGCACGACACATCATGTGGAGGCCCGAAAGGCCCAGAACGAAGGAGGGACTGTTTCTTGAAATTTGTGCCTCGCCGGCGGCTCGAAGCCCTGCCATGTGTAGAGTAGTTGATCGCGACAGCATTCTGCACACGATGGTTTGCGGTGGTTTACGGGCCCTTTAACATTCATCCAAACCTGAGCCCACGGGTCTACAGCATTTTCGCCTCCAACGAAAATGCAGTCGCCGCAGTTGGGATCCAGCGACCTGCGGGTCAGCAGTCAAGTAACTTAGCCACTAAACCATCGCGGCAGAGCAATATGACTAATAAAAAAAATTTAAATATAAAATCTGCATTTTATGCACAAAAAAAACAGGGCTTCCTTGAGCCAATACAATCTTTCTATTATTGGAGTTATCACTATTCGTGTTCTGAGCAGTTGTTTGTACCTTTAACTTGCCTACTAAAGTTATGTGCTCTTTCAATATTGTGCTGACTACACAGTCCGATGTTCACTCCAACAATATAAATCATACGTGCCCAAATGGTAGTATTAAGTAAACAAAATATTAATAAATATACAGGCTTTGCAAGAGAGCATTCTTTCATAATTATTATCTCCATCTTTATCTTGTGCATGTGATTTTGTTTGCATTGTACCTATTGATAGTATTTCCATTCCTGTAATGTATGTTAACAACATTATTAAGCAAATAAAATTAGTAAAGTGTGGGATTGGGCTAGTTGGAAATTCATTATTAAACTTCTCAGCGCAAAAACTTACAACAACGAGCACAGACTTTCAACTAATTTATTACTACTACGATGCACAGATATGTGTTACAAAAAAAAAACAAACGATAAGATGACTTGCTTAAGCATAAACAAAAAACACACAAAACCAAAAAGTGAAAAAGTGCAAGAAACCACGTACTCACCCCTGCGCTCGTCCTCGTCTCTTGTGTTAGTTGTCGGAAGTTTTTGCGCTGAGAAGTTTAATAACAAATAAAATATTACACAAGCGAGTTTAAAGAAACAGAAAAAAAAATTCAGCAGATCCCATGTATCTGGGAATCGACGTTATGCGAAGCATGCGGAGGGAAAATGACCGTGTTGCAATTTTTTTATTGTGTGACACGTGACGAAATGACGCTAAATATATGTGCATATGTTGCACGCACCAGCATATGTTGCAGAGTTGCAGATGTTTATATAACCAGTTGTTTGCACTTGCGCATCGATGCCAATTGGAACATGCACATTAGAAACACCAGGAGCTGATATGAAGCACTGATGCTCGCGAGGATGTTGGCCCTCGACACTTCTACGTAAAACAACTTCAGCGCATAGCAACTAATCACAATTGTCATTAACTCGACAGGACAGCTGTATCAAAGGAGTACATAAGTAAAGTTTATAAAATTGGGTACGCAGCACTGCAACTACTACAGTCGAAATCCGCGATAACGAAACCCCACGAGTAGGAAATCCCCACAGCAACGAAATATTTCCAGATCCCCGGCGAACGTTCATAGAAGCCCGTGTATTACGTATCTCGCAGCAATGAAATGTTCTTGGACAGCGATCCCGCATTAACGAATTTTATACCACGGTGCGGGCCTTATTTTATCCTCCCGCCAAAGATTAACTGTCGAAAATATGGTAGTATGCGTGTTATGTGCACTCAAAACTTGTAAACGTCTGCTTTTGCTGTGCTAGCGTGGGTACCGCAATTTTTGTTACCTAAATCGGCGATGGGGTCTGTGTCCGGCAACAAGCCTGGCCACACTGCAGCAGGCGATGGCAAATGATCATGCTGCGATGGCAAATGATCAGGCGATGGCAAATGATCACGCGGGCTTCACCACCACCGTGCAAGCATCACGCACAGATCGCGCTTCGGCCTCACCAGACTAAGATTTGGATGAAGGCGCCCTTGACAACTAGAGTGGTGACAGTGCAGTGCTTCTATCCCTGACCAACGGCTGAAAGGAACTTCGAGCCATCGACATCCCAGATGAACTCACCGCTGATGCGTTCATTCGCGCCGATGACGACGTAGTTGTGTACGAGGAAGTGACCGACGAGGTCATTATCGAAAGGGTGCGCGAAGCTGACGATACCGAGGAACAAGAAGAGACGCACGCGGAGAAACCCTACCCGCGGGTTGTTTTGGCTGCGCTGAACACCCTTCGCTCCTTCTTCAGAGCACACGACAACGACGTAGCAATAGACTACTTTTTCCAGTGCGAAAGAAGAGCTTTGAATTTGTTGCATGGCAAAGGTCGGCAAAGTAAGTTGGCCGACTTCTGGCAATAAATTTTCGTTCTGCCGGCCGTATCACCGTTTTTATGTCTCACACTCACGGCAACGAAACTCTTGCAAAAACGAAATTTTTCGGTTTCCTCGGCGATTTCGTTATTGCGGGTTTCGGCTGTATTGACGTTTCACGAAGATTAGTGTCTATTTGAAAGTAGTTCCGAGACCTGGCGTATCTCTGTGGTAAAATGCTTCTTGCCACGCAGAATGCTTCGGTTTGATTCCAGATAGGGCCCCGATATTTATTCTTTGCATTCATCGAGTCGACGCTACTGATGTCGGGTATTTCTTAACGCTCGCGCGTTAAAATTGCCCTTGAGTGTTCTCGTCATTCCTGGGTATATACTAAGTGGCAATCAACAGTGGCACAACCCGCATACCAGCTATGTGCCACTGTCTGGCGGAAAGTGTTTGATGACGTATGCAATGGGATTGTGCCATTATTCATGTCATGACCAGCGCGTCATATTCATCAAACCATTTACCCTCCCTTGTTAATTTTGGTTTACGCCAAGTTAAGGGGGTGACCATGAGAGCATCCAAACGTTCATGAATTGGAGCAGTTTTATATTGCTTTTCAAAGTGGGCAAAAAATGACCCATCTTTGAAGAGAAACTAAACAATTTCCCAAATTAGTACATTCTCCTAATTAAGAATTTTTCCAAATATGCCAAAATCTGGCTCAATAAAGCACTGAGATGACTAGAAAACAAAGAGAAACATCTGCTCCACACAGCCATGCCACGTAACACACCCGATACATTAAATCAGTGGTTCTCAGCCATGGATGTGTCGGGGACCCTTTGTGGACTAGTTGAAGTGATTGGGGACCCCTTGAAAGGAAGGGGGGGGGGGGGGGGGGGTGCATAGGTAAATTAACACAACTGAAGCATGAAACCAAGTGCCTTTTATTGCTACTAAAAACATCAAACAAGCGTACCCCTTCGTTTTGGACAGTTTATCAATATGTGGCACAGTCGCTCTTCAACAGAGTTGCATATATAAAAGAATAAAAAACGTAAAAAAAGCGGGTGAGGGCTTCGCGGCTGTAGGATGCACGAACCCCCTTTTGAGAAACACTGCATTAAATAGATGCAATGCTGCTGAAAGTGCTTATCAGGAAGCAATTCGTCATGCCAAATGCTCATTCTTCCACTATGATGTATTGAACATGCTTAAAGGCCAACTCCAGCGACTTTTCAAGGTCAATGGATCTCAATGAAATTCACTGGGTACATTCATTTGCACGTTTCCGCCACTCATGCAATATTGCAGGATAGAGAGTTTCGCAGATTCCTTTCAAATTAATTTTATAGCTTGCCTCGAAACACTCACCTTGCTTGCCAGAATTAATGGCAACAATGTGCGTGCGACATTGAATTTTGCCTGGCAGAAGTGATGAACTGATGTGTCACTGCAGCGTCTACTTGGCTACTATGGATTGTGTGGGTTTGGCCGGCGCTTACTTGGTTGAGCGTGCAATTTCCTTTTTCGTGTTGGTGGGCGTGCGATAGGTGCCAAGTGGTGTTGTGTTGTGAGCCACACACGATTCGCCTTATATTCACCACAACAGCATAAGCGTTTTTGCCGATCGCCGCGAACGGCGTAAACAGGTAGTGCCATCTGGCAAGCATTATGCACAATCAGGCAAGTTTCGGGCAAAGTTAGACAAATTTTTACATCGCACGTGGAAGCACACTCAGTTTTTTTTTTGGTTATTTTATTGCTGTTTTTTGTAATTAAAATTATTTTCAATTTTTTTCACATCTCAGCTATCGGGCGCGTGAGAAGAGTGTCTGAGAAACACAAAAGCATCATTATCCTGACATAGTAAAAAAATCGCCGGAGTTAGTCTTTAAAGGACTCTCAACAGTTAAAGCTTTGTTTGCGATTTTTTACTGCAATTTAAAGCCCTGCACATGATGATGCCAAAATTGAATCATGAAGGCTCTAATGCATCATGAATTAATCCTAACATTGTTAATTCAGAACAAATTAACGTCATTTCGAAATACACTTAGATACCGTAAGAAACTAGCGCCCCACAGCGGGGCAGCTTCCGAGACTACGTGCACTGAAGCTTAAGTGGTGCTGAACGTGCCGTTTCCAACGAGGGGGACCTGCGGGCGGCGAAGACTGAAACATGTGGCTGCTTCTAGCATGTCCACCTCAGTAAAAAGGAAAAGCGTACCTGTCATATGCAGCCCCCTCTGGTGCAGCTTTTTATTGCTACTAATAACATCAAACAAGCGTACCCCCTCGTTTTGGACAGTTGATCAAAAAAAAAAATTACGGCATATTCACGGGGTGAATGATGATGAATGGGCAAAGCTCCGGAGGGATTCATCGGTAAACTGTGAATCTTCCGTGTAATTCGCCCAGTCGATCATCATGTAAAGACAAATCAACTTTTATTTGTTCTTAGACGATGGATGGCTTGCGATGTCCCTTGCCTCGCGCGCTCGCACATCGGGATTCTGTCTGCGAGCGCGCGCTGCTGCCGCCTTGTGCTCTCTCCGCTGTGCAGCCTTATCCATCCGGCGACTCCGAGCGCACGCCAACAGCGAACGGATTTTATTACAACGCTCTCCCTAGCGTACGTCGCCGCACTAAATCGAACGATTGCCTTCAACCAATGACACGCGCCATATGTGACATCATTCCTATTTTATAAGATCTCGCGTCTTTCATCAACTACAAGTACCGCTTTCTAGTTTATAACATCTTGCATCTTTTCATCATCAGCTACAAGTACCATCATCTAGTAAACACTACAAGAACTAAACGAGAGGTGGCTACATACAGGAGACGGTACCGCCATCTAGTGAACACTGCAAGAACTAAACTAGAGGTGGCTACATACAGGGGACGGTACCGCCATCTAGTGAACACTGCAAGAACTAAACTAGAGGTGGCTACATACAGACTACAGGGGACGCACAGCCCACGCCCTAAGGAGCTTCGCCCCTAATATGTGGCACAGTCGCTCTTCAACAGAGTTGATATAAAGGAATAAAAAACGTAAAAGCGAGAGGGGCGACAAACAACAGTCCTCGCCGGGTGCCAGTTGGGGTATTGTGCACTGCAAGTGTTCTCTGACGTCGACAATACTTTCATGACTTCTGCTGTGTCCCAAGAGTACCGCCTGTCAACGTCGAACCACAGAAAATGTTGTTTGCGTCTGAATACTCGGACGAGCATGCACCTTTACTTTAGAACCAAATTAAAATATCTTATGATAATGTGTGCTGTTTTATGGCACAAGGGCCATTTGATGGCCAAAGAGTGCCAGGTCAATGGACAAGTGATGCGAGCAATGATTATGATAGATGGCTGTAAAAGGGCTTTAAAATTCCTTGTGCTAACGCGGGTAAAAACATAGAAGCATTAAGACCATGTCATTGACGTGAATTATGTGAAGTGAGAGTGAATGGCGAAACGTCGTGATACAGGAAAACAATGATGAAGAAGTAGCCACCACGGCAGCGACCTCTCTTCAGATGTCGTGCTACGGAGTGCCTGGGTATATGATGTTAAAAGTATGTACGTCTGTTAAAAATGCCAGCAATGATTTATGTGTGAAAAGGGGTTCACTAATGACGAACAATGATGGATGCAAGGGTGTCTGTTGTCCATAGGGCAGTAAAAAGTGCTTCTTTCTGAGGGC